GCCTGGCTCCGCAGGGCCCCTCCTGCGCCCCCTCCTCTGCCCACCGCCCCTCCTCCAGCAGCCAGGCCACCGGCCTTGCTCCCTGCAGGCTGCCGGTGGTGCCCACCGGCACGAGACGCAGGCTGGCACAGAGAGGGGCCTCGGGAAGTGCCCCCCGACGGTGACGACACATCGCCGGTCCACCTGACTCGGCTTCGCACGGCAGCTGTGCCGCGGGGGCGCTCCCCAGGACGGGGAGCTGACGGCGCCTGCGACCTTTATCCTAAGCGCGGGGGCCACACGCGCTCCCGAGCCAGACGCCAGCAGGCCGGAGCCCGCTGGCCGGCGCCCACCCCGGGGCCCCTGCCGGCTCACCTCCACCTGCAGCTCGCCGATGTCGTCCACCGACCAGGCCTCGTCGTCGTTGTCGTAGTTGGGCACGGTGCTGAAGCTGCCCGCCCGCTGCTCGTGCGCAGCGCCGCACTCGGGCAGGTTCTCCACGGACCGCGTGCTCCGGATGCGGTTCTCGGGGATGCGGGCGGGGACGCTGGTGGTGTCGAAGTTTTCGCATTCGAGGACCTCCACGTAGATCAGGTAGGGAGCCTGGAGGGTGGGGCAGCACCGCAGCTCGCGCTCGCCCGCGCCCGCGGGGCACCCAGGGCCGCCCGGCCGGCCCGCACCAGCAGCCTGTCCCCGAACGCCCACGGGAAGCGCCTGCCCGCGTGTGGAGGCTCAAACGCTCCGGCCAAGGCCCCGAGTGCACACGTGGCCCTCGCGTGCCTCTCAGCTACAGCCTGGGGCCAGTTCTAGAGGTTCTGCGGGCTCGTCTCAGAGACACAGACACGGGCTCCCTCTGGCGCAGCGCTTAAAGGCAGCAGGTCAGGCTGTCGGCAGCCACTGGCCCGAGTCCCAGGGAGGGACCCCAGGGCGCGGCGGACCCCAACTGTCTCCCCGCCGCCCCCTCAGCGGTGGGTGTCAGTGGATCCACCTGTTCTGCTCCCCACTCTGTCTCTGGGGTGTCCTCTCACTGCCCCCCCGCACCCCAGCTCTTGTATGCGTAAATAAATAAATCTTTAAAAGAAAAAAGGGGACGACAGGCCCCAGCCTGGGGCGGGGAGTGAGTGGAACACGTGCACCCTGGCCCCCGGCCACTCCGGGCCGCCCTGGGCACAGGCAGCAGAGGGCAGGGCGGGCAGAGACCACTACCTTGTCCTTGGAGTTGAGGACGACGGCCTGGGTGTGGGGCACACGGACCACGTGGTGGTCAAAGCCGGCGGTGGGCAGCCAGACGCGGGCGGGCAGCTTGTGGTTGAGCAGGGACAGCTCCGAGATCAGCCGCTGCGTCTTCTGCTCCTTGGTGGGGAGCGTGGCCAGCCGCTTGCCGATAGCCATCAGGGACTTGATGAACTCTCGCTCGGGAGCCAGTCGGACGGGCTGCGGGTGGGCGCGAAGCAGAGGACGGTGCGGGAGCCGTAGGAGGCCGCCAGGAGCCGCTTCCGCCACAGGCCCAGGCCCCCCTGCCAGCGCAAGACCTCCCCGCGCGGACGCCGACAGGGTGGGGGCCGCATCGAACTCTGGTGCGCCCACCCCAGCACTGCGGCCCCCCCGGAGCTGCTCAGGGTTCTCGGGGGAGGAGGAACAACACCCAGAACCACTGCCCGGCCCTGCACAGGGAGCTGTCCCTCTCCCCTCGTGGGTGCAGGCCGGGCTCCGCCCAGGAGCTCCGCCCTACGAGGGGCCGCGAATGCTCCCCACCGCCCGCCCCGGCCCCCTCTCCGCCCCCACGGGCCCAGGGCCCAGGGCGCATGCAGGGAGGGGCTGGCGACCGGACACCACGGGAAGCAGCAGGGGGAGGAGGGAGGCGGGCAGGTGGGCAAGAGCTGCGTCCAGCTCGCAACGGCCAGGCCTGGCTCCGCAGGGCCCCTCCTGCGCCCCCTC